TCATCTCCAGAGCTGCTCTGAGAGTCACTTCACCAGCTTTACACTGTTTCATTTGAGAAAATACTACCGTCAAATACACACTGAATATCAAAGATTTGCCAAAACAAAAGTTTGGTTTAACTTAAAGAAATGATGACAGAAACATATTACTAATGTATACAAAATTGTACTTCTCAAAGTAATAATAATAATAATTTTTAAGAAATTTGAGATTGGGACAGCAGAAGAGGTATTCTAGAACAGCACTCTTAATGCACCACAAAATTAAATTCAGAATTAAGTACACAATGCATTAGAGACTTTAAACTCTTAAGACTCTTTCTGAGGAAGTTTAAATTAACAAGTAAAGCTGGTCTTAGTGCAGGGATTCTCAACCATATTTGGTCTGTGACCCATTTTTAAATGCCAAAATTCTTGAAACTCCACATCAAAGAATTACATTAGACACTTGATGATCTCAAAGATATAATTCCTGACAAAAAAGGAGGTCTATGATACCTGGAGAAAGTTATGTATTGGCATTTACATTCATATCTGTGGTAACTAGAGCTGGGAGGCAAACAATATTGTATCAAGATTGCAATAAAATTTATGAATGAATGAATGAAGGATTTTATATAGCGCTTTATTGTGTATTGCTGTGCACCCAAAGCGTCTTACAATCAAATGAGGGGATATCTCCTCATCCACCACCAGTGTTTTTCTCAAATGAAACAGTGTAAAGCTGGTGAAGTGACTTTCAGAGCAGCTCTGGAGATGAAGTTCATGTGTTCATGTTCTTATATATTAAGACAGCAGTCACTGTGAGTGATATGTTTATACCGATGATAAGTTTTAAACATTTTTACTCAATATCGATTTATCACATAAATGTGATAGAGCCAATCAGTGCATGACACTAACAAGTCTGCACTCACAGTGTTTTTACTGTTTGCTGTCTCAATATATAAGAACATGAACACATGAACTTCATCTCCAGAGCTGCTCTGAGAGTCACTTCACCAGCTTTACACTGTTTCATTTGAGAAAATACTACCGTCAAATACACACTGAATATCAAAGATTTGCCAAAACAAAAGTTTGGTTTAACTTAAAGAAATGATGACAGAAACATATTACTAATGTATACAAAATTGTACTTCTCAAAGTAATAATAATAATAATTTTTAAGAAATATCATACAACTAAGATATTTTTCATCCATGTTTTAATTTATGCAGTTTTGCTGTGCAGCATCTTCACATTCTAAATAAATATTTTGTTAGAGTACACGGTTATGTTTGCATGGCCCTCAATGGATAAAGATGATTTTTGTCTCCAGATTGTTTAGTTATAGCATATTGGACGAATCAACAAAAATGTCTCCAATAGGATGACTGTCAGTATGTGATGATAGTTAAATGTGTCTGGTGATTGTGCCAATATGAAACTGATCAAGAGCTTAGTGGTCTGAGTGGCTTGAATGACTTCTGAAAAGATTTTGACAGAGAAATCAATGTAATGCACATGAGAGAGCGCCGAGCGCAGGTGAAAGTCCCTGTCAAAGGGACTCATGTGTGAAAAGTCATTTGTTCAGCCAGCCACACACACACTCTGAAGTCACTGCAGGCTCCAAAAATATGTGATTCTGCATGACAGCACACTGAATAGCCATCCAAGCTTTTTCAGTTATCAATAAACACAACAGCGAATGCTTTTCCTGGATTTTGGCAGTGTTTTCTGACGTACACACTGATCCAGGCTCCAGAAGTGAGAGTTCGTGATCTAGTCTCCATCACAACAACACACTATGCGCTCTTTCTTAGAAGTCCCATTTGCTCATAATAAGCCGATGCGGTTTGACACTTATGCCTCCGGTTGTCAGGTTTATCATCCTCAGCCTGTCAGTGCTGCATAATGCCCATCATTCTGCAGCCTGCCTCTGCCGGGGACTGCGAGGGACAGCTTGCATCGCTTCAAACCTCATCCAGCACTGAACTGTGCCCCCTAATAAAGCCTAAATTGCCCACCGTGGAGCAGGAGAGTGGCTCCAGACATTCATTAGCTTAATGAAAACAGGCCACTCCACTGCAGCCGCCCAGTGAGCATCTTCACACTGTAGCTGAGGCAACCATCTGCTCCAAGGCACCCAGCCAGCTGCAGAGTATTCCTGTCATACACACCCCATCAGAGGGGATGCAAACGGCACACTTCCAGCTCACCCGCTCCGCGAGAGTTGGTCATGCCGCTTTGGCGCAGTGCTGCAGTGTTGCTAAATATACTGCCCTACCCACACCTCACCCTTTCACCTGAAACTGTTTGCATTTGCTTTGTGACTCTGGCCAAATTCGGTGACGGTTCTTCTGCGTTTCATCAGCTAGAGTTCCCTACAGCTGCATCTACAGCCTGACTGGGAAGAGCATGTGTTGAGGAGTTTCCAGCCATGTGCTAGGCAGGGTATGTCAACATGTGTTATTGCCAACTGTTTCATTCTGGCCGCCACATATCAGCTAACCTTTGCAAACATTTGAAGGACAAATTCACTTCCCTGAGTAATGTCTGGCTCATTGGGCTGGAAATATACAAATACTGTAGTAAACAGCCATATCGCTCAAATTATGCAATGTCAGATTTTACAAATGTGTTCCATACAGAATGCTTTATTTGTGTTATAGTTGAATTGCCACAATAGTGGACTAGTTATACACAACCAATGTTTATTTATTTATTTATTTGGGCCTCTTAGTCTTAAAGGGATAGCGCACCCAAAAATTAAGATATTTTTGAAGACGAATTAAGATATTTTTGATGAAATTCGAGAGCTTTCTGATCCTGCATAGACAGCAACGCAACTAACATGTTTAAGGCCCAGAAAAGTAATAAGGACATCATTAAAATAGTCCTTGTGACATCAGTGGTTCAACCTTAATTTTTATGAAGCTACGAGAACACTTTTTGTGTTCAAAGAAAACTAATATAACTTTATTCAACAATTTATTCTCTTCCATGTCAGTTTTTCATGTGCATTCACGAGAGTACCACAATGCATGCGTTTACAAGCAGTCTTCGTAAACATGCCTGAAGATTTCGACAGAGGGATTTTTTGCACAGCTTTACTTATTTGAACCAGAATATACAGACGATGAACTAAGAGAGATGGACATTCAGTTTTTCAATTCAATTCAAGTTTATTTGTATAGCACGATACAAATCGTTGCAAAGCAACTTTACAGCAAATTAAGTTTCTACAATATTTAGTGGTAGCTTATCAGTGGTGACTGTCAGTTAATGTACATATGGCAGAAATGTATGGAAAAATCAACTAAAGATGTAATCAAACAAACGATGAACACTATTATGTTGCTGGATGTTGACATCACTGAATTCAATGATGAACTGTCTTTAACTGAAAAATGAGTGTTTACTATTGTCACTTTGCATTATTGACACTATTTTCCTAATTAATGCTGTTCAGTTGCTTTGTCACAATCTGTATTGTTAAAAGCGCTATATAAATAAAGGTGACTTGACTTGACTTGACTATTAACAGCAATTATTATTTTAGTTTTGTATGTTGTTTCAGGTTTGGCATCATCTGAGGTCCTCTGAGGTCCTGTGGTGGACATCAGCACCACCACACACGTGTTGTTGCACTTTCCTGAACGTGCATTAAAGACTGACACGTTAGAGAAGAAAGTTGAATAAAGTCTTTTTTTTTTTCTTTGCACACAAAGTATTCTCGTAGGTTCTTAACATTAAGATTGAGCCACTGATGTCACATGGACTATATTATCGATGTCCTTGCATCGATAATATATTATGTAATATATTATATAATGTTCTGGGCCTTGAACATTTCAGTTGCATTGCTGTCTTTTTTTTCTGTTTGCACAGAAAATTTGTTCAAAAGTTCATTAGTTTTACAGTTCACACAGAAGATTTCTTTTAAAATTCATCCCCACTTCAACATCCACGCACACAAAGACATTTTGACCGTCTTTTTTTTTTTTGTCTTTTGCCATTAGAACTGTTTTTAAGACGTTAAGTTAAAAATTGTGAAAGTGTGTGTTTAGATGCATTATCATCATCCAAAAGGTCACTTTCTTCTGTTTTATTGTCCTGTGTAAAAAACATACTAAATGTTTTTTTAAAAGGTTTCTCAAAAACATTACATCTAAAGAGAATTTAGAGAGGCTGCTGGCTAAGCGGATTGTGGCGATACATCAGAGTCAGTGATGAACACTGAAAATGAGCAGACAGTGATGAAGTGACACTGTTATAAAGGGAATCTGATGCACCACTTCATACAAGGGCACTTTTTCTTACATTGGGCAGCATTTATTGACTGTTTAAGATTTGTTGTTATCATGGGCATTAAACAACCCTCAGCAGCCCAAATCTGATTGCAATCTGTAAGACTCAGAAATCCCTTGAAGATACACAGATGTATGATGCACAGATGTGAGTAAACCAACGGAGAGAGCGGGTGAAAAAACGGTGAAGGCCAAGTGTTCTCAGTGACCGCTGATCTGCTGTGTGACTGAAATGTTAGTTGCTGCCCCAAGGCAGTTGTTGGATAGCTCATCATCTGGGTAGTATTACTTGAATCCCCATTGGAAATGAACTCATTATGTTATGCCTCATTCAAGCATGGACTTCTGGATCATTTTGAAGATCCCTTTTGGCATTTGGTGCATGTTATAATATCTCTGAAAGCAGCAGAGCCCAACCACTGACCCCAAACATCGATTAGACACATGAGTGGCTGCAGTGCCCTGCAGAAACAGGTGTAGACTCTTACATCTTTTTTGATCGCTTCTGAAAAACTGACGACTGCCACAGATTTAATTTTGAACCCAAAAATATTTTTTTCATTCTCTCACTGTAGTTTTTGTGCATGATGAGAAAAACCAACTTACTTTTGAATGTGTTTTATTGACTGTGCGGTAACTGAGACAACTGTCTAGGAAGCAGGCAGTGTGAGAGACCAACCGTATTGCCTTTTCTCTCCTCTATTACAGTTTAATTTTGTTGGCAAACTGCTGGGGCCCAGGGGCAATTCCATGAAAAGATTACAAGAGGAAACGGGAGCAAAGATGTCCATCCTCGGCAAGGGTTCAATGAGGGATAAAGGCAAGGTAGGATGACTGGCAACAGCTTTCTTATTTATCCTCCTGTGTACTGTATACATTTAATATATTCCATAAATGCTTTGAGTATTATTATTATTACTATGATTTACATTGATTTGTCTGTAACCATATATGCCATAACTGTACCAGCATATTTTCGGATATTAAAATCTAAACTGACTGCCCATGACAAAAACAAACTACCTGCATTTGATTAGACCTGTATTAAACCATATATTGATTTTCGTCAAGGAGAAAGTATAATAATATAATAATTCTATGGAAGTTTGTTTCTGCCACGAAAGGAAAAAAAAGTGTTTTGATATGACATATAAAGTCAGAAAGTAATATATAAGTTAAAGGGTCATTATGACATACTAAGTCATAATTATGAGATTAAAAATAATTAATTATGACATAAAATGTTGACTTTTTATTTCACAATTGTGAACTTTTATCTTATTATTTCAATTTTCAAAATTCAGTTTTTATGTCATAATATGACTTAATATTCATAATTTGAAAAAACTTTTATGTTATAATTATATTGAAATATTGGCTACTAAAAATTAAAAAATGTAAATGACAATTTTTTTTGTCAATTATGACCTTTTATAACAATTTCAACTTTTTAATTATTATAACTTTTTATCTCATAATTATGATTTAGTATGTCATAATTTCAACTTTTTATCTTAAATTATGACTTCTCATAATTTTTCATTTTTATATCATAATTATGATTTACCAAACCATGATTATTATTATTTTTATGTGGAGGAAATGGGCTTCCATAAGCTTGTACATGTTATGCACACTACATTTATTCCAGAGCAGAGTGCTTTATCCCTTAAATCCTGTAAACCTTTCATTTGTGTGAGTTTAACAAGCATCACCAGTGGCTGATGACGCTGAGACTGAAGATCATTACCTGCACTATATTTTCCTAGATAAAAGAAGAACTGCTGTTTTTAGCATTTACTGATGTTGTATAAATTCTTGAAAAAATAAATATATATCGCAAACTATATCACAAATAGATAGCACTGACTCACATACTGTGTAATTTGGCTGAAAGTAGAACCTGGCAGCCTAACAGACCTATGTGTTTTTTTTTTAATTGTCAGTGTTTGTAGAATCAACAACATCTCTAGATTGTAAAGGAGCTGTTGAGACTATTTGCATTATGGTTTTTTCTCAGTGGATCTGATTTAAACAAGTGCTTTGTATTAAGTTGTGGTGAGTGTAATGTTTAGAAATGGCATTTTGTGATTCAGCCAAACAGCTGCCCTAAGAGACATGCTGGTCATTTACCTAGCCAGAGAATCGTTCCAAATGTAATATTTCTCGGTTTGCTGCTCCTGTCATCTCATAATAGGCCATCCTGATTTCCCCAGCTCAATAAAATGTTCATTTTAATGTAATATTATTGAATGTAACCCCATTGAATGAAAAACATTCATATCAAGCAAATATTAGTTTTCTTTCAGTGTAGTGTATGAAATAGAATGATGTAATAAGCAAAGTGAGGCTGTGTTTTTACCAAAGCGATTTTACCACTGTTGAAGGGTGTTGTTAGGCACAAGTGAAGCATGGAGACATGGCACATTAATAGCATTCAGTTGATGCGTGCATATTTACAACAGTCTTGAATGTTGTTTAACCAGTAACATGAAACAATCCTTTTTTTCAACAACACCATGATGAAAATTAAACTTTGTTGTCATAAGATTTCCACAAAGTCAACAGAAACGTTGTTTGTGCAATCAGCAATGCATTTACAGTTACCTGAGTAGTATGAATTATTTACACAAAAGCTGTTTGTTTTCATTTGGTCTCTGAAGAATGTTCTGAACGTGTTAGAGGAATGAAATGTAGTGCACAGTGCAAAACCCAGTGTCTTGTTCACATTCCACCTGCAATCTATTTAAGCCAGGTGCTACAGGCATGTGCGCTGTTTAGCGCTGTGCTGTGAATATTTAAACATTCTTTTCAGCGCAAAAGAAGACCTCCTTTCTATATAAATGAAGTGAATGCACCGGATCTGCCTATGGATTAATCAATGTGGTGTTGTCACTGAAATAAGATTCGTTGATCTATGACTCAAAAAAAAGAGTAATTAAATATTTTTTTTCATATGCAATATTGATCAGAAACCATATAAGATGTTGGAACAATTTGTTGCAACATGACCTGGTTGTATCCAATGGAAATAATTTTTACTAGATTTATTTTCACATCTCCTTGTATATTGTGTATACTGTATGTGGCCTTGCCTCCATTTATATATCAGCGTTGTGCAAACAGCATTGTGTACATCATGTCATGCACACAGCCCCAATTTTACCATTACCTGATTTACATAATTTGTGAAGTGAATTGCGTGCTCAAGCAATGCAGATAACATGCAAATAAAAGATGCTTTTAGGGCTATAATCCTTTCTTAATGAATTCCCTCTCAGACTTTAATTTAAGCATATATTATGCATATTGTTTTTACTAAAATCTTTCTTCGTTGCAATCATTTCACAGAACCAAACAAGACCAATATCTTGTTATTGTTTATTGTCTAGTTGTCCATGTAACCCCATTGAATGAAAAACATTCATATCAAGCAAATATTAGTTTTCTTTCAGTGTAGTGTATGAAATAGAATGATGTAATAAGCAAAGTGAGGCTGTGTTTTTACCAAAGCGATTTTACCACTGTTGAAGGGTGTTGTTAGGCACAAGTGAAGCATGGAGACATGGCACATTAATAGCATTCAGTTGATGTGTGCATATTTACAACAGTCTTGAATGTTGTTTAACCAGTAACATGAAACAATCCTTTTTTTCAACAACACCATGATGAAAATTAAACTTTGTTGTCATAAGATTTCCACAAAGTCAACAGAAACGTTGTTTGTGCAATCAGCAATGCATTTACAGTTACCTGAGTAGTATGAATTATTTACACAAAAGCTGTTTGTTTTCATTTGGTCTCTGAAGAATGTTCTGAACGTGTTAGAGGAATGAAATGTAGTGCACAGTGCAAAACCCAGTGTCTTGTTCACATTCCACCTGCAATCTATTTAAGCCAGGTGCTACAGGCATGTGCGCTGTTTAGCGCTGTGCTGTGAATATTTAAACATTCTTTTCAGCGCAAAAGAAGACCTCCTTTCTATATAAATGAAGTGAATGCACCGGATCTGCCTATGGATTAATCAATGTGGTGTTGTCACTGAAATAAGATTCGTTGATCTATGACTCAAAAAAAAGAGTAATTAAATATTTTTTTTCATATGCAATATTGATCAGAAACCATATAAGATGTTGGAACAATTTGTTGCAACATGACCTGGTTGTATCCAATGGAAATAATTTTTACTAGATTTATTTTCACATCTCCTTGTATATTGTGTATACTGTATGTGGCCTTGCCTCCATTTATATATCAGCGTTGTGCAAACAGCATTGTGTACATCATGTCATGCACACAGCCCCAATTTTACCATTACCTGATTTACATAATTTGTGAAGTGAATTGCGTGCTCAAGCAATGCAGATAACATGCAAATAAAAGATGCTTTTAGGGCTATAATCCTTTCTTAATGAATTCCCTCTCAGACTTTAATTTAAGCATATATTATGCATATTGTTTTTACTAAAATCTTTCTTCGTTGCAATCATTTCACAGAACCAAACAAGACCAATATCTTGTTATTGTTTATTGTCTAGTTGTCCAAATGAGACAGGAATATGCATTGTCTGATTCCAAATAGCCATGTGGGGAATTTCTACAAGCAGAATTCACCACAATTTCACACTGTTTTAACAATGCGGATGAACCATGGTCTGAAATCTATTTAAATTTATGGCAGAACTCAAACAAGAGCCTGTTGGATTGTTTTAAATCCCAAAGGCAATCATTAATGCAAACATATTCCATTATAAAGAGTCACCTTGAGCTGGTACAGGTTTGTTATACATATGAAATTAAGAGTCTGCCGTGCATCTTTATAGACTTGTCTGTGCCGCATCTGAAAGTCCTGCTGAGATCTTCATATAACAGACTCTCTACATCCAAGGATCAGCAAAGCAAAGAATATTGCATTTAGAATGATTCCCTAGTCAAATAAATGAACAGCTTGTGTCTAAGGGCAGCAAATTGACTGAATCAAAAAATGGCATTTCAGGATATTACAATCACCACAAAGCAAAATGTAGTGCAAATCTCAATCTGGGGATACACAGCAGAAATATTTAACTCATATCCTTAATTTTTATATGGAAGGAAAATAAATGCAGCATTTATTATGACCCATAGTGCCGTTTCCATGAGTTTCAGGAATAGATTTTTATAAGCTTTATAAGCTTTTGTTCGAATGTTTCAAATCTGAGCTCTTTAACTCCATAGGGGCGCTGGATAACTGTCAGGCTTATAAGTGTCAGATTCACTATTTGTACTTTACCGGGAATACATTTGAGGAACCCTTCATTTTGTCACATTTGAAGAGGATTCTGCTGTGCTTAGACATGCTTACTTGAGTGCCTTTTGAAATGCATCCTGGGAGACAGACCTACCTTTTTAAACAACAGAACATTTTCTTCATGGATTGTCATGAAAGGAAAGTTAAAGCTTTCAGGCTTGAAACAGAACAAATGTCATCTGACGAATGGTTTTCCAGAGGACTGTAAATGAGGCAGCAAACTTTTCACTGTCTCCTGTTTCGCCTTTTGTCTGTCCGTTTTTAAGTCAATCCAGAAACACCCACTGCGTCCATCCAACACGCATATATCTGTGTCTGCTTGCAAAATTATCACATCTTCACAATTCGTCAGTGCCTGTATACGGAGCCCACAAAATATGATTACGCCTCTCAGAAATGTTGTGAAAGCTTAAGTGTCTCCTGACCTTTCGTACATGCAAAGCATGATGGAAAAAATGCTTGGGTCACTTTGACTTGATAGAGAGATGGAATCGGTAAGTGTTTATTAAAGCTGAAGGGGCTACAAGGGCCCGCATCAGTGATCAGACATCTGTGAATGGCCCCTACATCAAAGCCCTCCCGTCTCTATGAAGAAGCCACAGCCGAATGGCAATCAACATTAGACAGAAATGTTGGCTACCGCAATTACAAGTTTTGTGAAGTTTTAAGTTTTTTGAAGAGCCACAGAACACCTTCAGTAATCAGAGAGAATTGAGAAACCGAATATTTCTGTGAAATATCACCCTTTTCTGCTCTTCCGATGGCAGAATTTAATCAGAAAGGTGACAGTGTCAATTTATTTCTGACAAAAAGCCCTCGGGCAGATTTAAGCATAATGATTTGCAGTATCTACGTACCCATTATCTGTGTTACAGAGTAAGGGTGGTGATAGGTACCATTGTTCACAATTTTCCTATGCCGTTATGAGAATTATTATTAAATGTGAGCTAAAAAAAGTAATCTTTATGACATTTTGTCACAATACATTCAAAGAACATCATCACCTCAAAAAGAGCTTCTTTCTTAAAGGGATAGCTCACCTAAAAATTATTATTCGGTCACCTTCATGTCGCACATGTATGACTTTCCTTTCTATGTGGGACAAAAAGATAATTTGAAAAATGTCCCACGTGAGGGTGAGTAAATGATGACAGAACTGAACTATCCCTTTAATGCCTTTCCAGTTCACTCTCAGTTCAAAATATGCATAATGTGGATTGGAGGTGGTGGAAAAAAGTACTTTTTATTTAATTCATTAATGGCATGATTAATTCTTCACGCAGAAGTCCTGACTTGATATTTTTCCATCTCTAGGAGGAAGAGCTGAGGAAAAGTGGAGAGGCGAAACACGCCCATTTGAGCAACGATCTTCATGTTTTAATTGAAGTTTTCGCACCACCTGGAGAAGCCTATTCCCGCATGAGCCATGCCCTGGAGGAGATTAAGAAATTCCTTGTTCCAGTAAGTTCATACAGTTGGATTCCTTGAGAGGGATGGTGAGCTGGAAGCCAAGATGAGATGAGTGCACCAACCAATACTGAACTCTAGTGCTCTCCTGCATGCATAAACTTGTTCATGTTTATTGCATAGAAAAAACAGATTATAGAGTTATGCATATGATTAAATATATACATTGGAGATCTGCCTTGCTGGAATTGGCTAGAAACCGAGAGAATGCTGCTAGTTTCTGATTATGTATTTTGCAAATCCACATTAATTTAACCCTAGGTTATGATTCTGAATTTTCTTTAAAAAAAAAAAAAAAAATGGCTTAACATGAAAAGTTCTTGTGCTTTTTTGACTATACACACTTAAAAATAAAGGTGCTTCAAAAGGTTCTTCAAGCAATGCCATAGAAGAACCATTTTTGGTTCCACAAAGAACCATTCAGTCAAAGGTTCTTTAAAGAACCATTTATTACCTTTTTATAATCTGAAGAACCTTTTGTGAAACAGAAAGGTTCTTCAGATGTTAAAGGTTCTTTATGGAACCATTTAGACAAAAAGATTCTTCTATGGCATCGTGAAGCACCTTTATTTTTAAGAGTGTATGTATACAGTTCAGAAGTCAGTAAGATTTAAAATAATATTACTTTTAAAGATATTTCAAATTAATGTGTTCAATCTATACAAATAAATAAATAAGCAGAACAACTTTTTAATAGTAGTAGAAATAATAAGATTTATTTATTCATTCATTCATTTATTTAATTTTGAGCACCAAATCAGTGTATCAGAATGATTTCTGAAGGCTCATGTGACACTGAAGACTGGATTAATGGCTGCTGAGAATTTTCAGCAATAAATTACACGAAACATATTAAAATAGAAAACAGATATTTTAAATTGCAATAATATTTCACCATATTACTGTTTGGACTGTATTTTTGATCAAAAAACGCATCCTTGGTGAGACTTTCAAAAACATTTAAAAATTTTATCAACCACAAACCTTTGAACAGTAATGTACACACACTAGCTTACTTGTAACGTTAGAAAAAATGGGTCCTGGAGCTTTCAAAGGTAATTAATGTGTCAAATGAATATCTCTGTATATAGTCCAGACTGTAAATATTAATGTAGCAGTATGAGTTGTTGGCTTCAGGGAGGAAGCGTTCTAGGCAGGGCCGGATTTACCTCTTTTCATGACATATAGGCAAAACTAATTTTTGAGCCCCCCTTCCCTATTAATATAACAGGCCTAATATTGCCACCCAAGCAAACAAAAATATTTCTTAATCAGTGGAAACCGTTTGTTACAGTGTTTTCTATCGCAATAAGGAAATTGCATTTCATTCCATTAATAGGCGCGGCGACGTGGCCACATAACCACTTCGGGAGTGCATTATTTCTCTAATAATTTTAACGGCCCTGGTTCTAGGAGAAATTCCCTACATTCACCTCTCCTGCCCTGGGCTTTAGGCAGGCTCTTAGCCTCTTGGGCCACATCTTTGCATCACTGGTCTGGTCATATCCTCCATATGTACTGCTGTCAGTGTTGTTCCATGTTTTATCTTTATGCCCACTGCAGAATACCAAGCAGATGAGTTTTCAGTCTCAATAGCTCTGTTTCTATGATGCCTTCTTTTTTTACCCAAATTCTAAGACGGCAATGTGTGTCCATTTCAGTTAGGATTCTGCCATAAAAGCAGCTTCCTATGCAGGCAGGAGGTGGCAAGGCAGCTCATTAGGGTTTGGAGCTAATGTCTTGATGTCTTTCCATCTTTGAATTTGTTTATAGTGGTCTACTAATTTATTTATTTTTTGTCAGAAAGCTTGATTCCTGTCAGGATTAAAGGAGTGTGCTGGCATCTCAAGATGGTGCACTTTGAAATGTTAATAGTATCTAGGCAGCCATGTGAATATGTCATAGCATTTGTTTTATAGAGACATGAAATTATAGCCCCCTTCTAATTAAAGGCTTTTGCTAGACCCCTTAAATCCAGTGAAAACAAACCTTAATGCTATGGCACACATGACATTATAGTGTATTGTGTGCTTCTTTCTTGCAATAGTTTCGGGAAGCCATTTTCTGTTCCAACATCACAATGCCACAGTGTACAAAGAAAAGTCTATTAAGAAATGTTTTACCGAGTCTAGTGTGGAAGAACTTGACTGACCTGCACCAAGCTCAACTCCTATTGAACCCCTTTGAGATGAATTGGAACACAGACTAAGAGCCAGACCCCTGACTCATCATCATTACTTGTCCTTAGTGATGCTCTTGTGTCCGAATGAGAGAAAATGGCTACTGCAAAACTTTCCCAGAAGAGTGGAAGCTGTTAGCAAAGGGAGGGAGACTCAGCTTCCAAATAATTCCCAACAATCACATACACTACCATTAGTAAGATATTTTTAATGTTTTTAAATAAATCTTTCATAGTTACCATGGCTGTATTTGGCATTTCAGGATATTACAATCACCACAAAGCAAAATGTAGTGCAAATCTCAATCTGGGGATACACAGCAGAAATATTTAACTCATATCCTTAATTTTTATATGGAAGGAAAATAAATGCAGCATTTATTATGACCCATAGTGCCGTTTCCATGAGTTTCAGGAATAGATTTTTATAAGCTTTATAAGCTTTTGTTCGAATGTTTCAAATCTGAGCTCTTTAACTCCATAGGGGCGCTGGATAACTGTCAGGCTTATAAGTGTCAGATTCACTATTTGTACTTTACCGGGAATACATTTGAGGAACCCTTCATTTTGTCACATTTGAAGAGGATTCTGCTGTGCTTAGACATGCTTACTTGAGTGCCTTTTGAAATGCATCCTGGGAGACAGACCTACCTTTTTAAACAACAGAACATTTTCTTCATGGATTGTCATGAAAGGAAAGTTAAAGCTTTCAGGCTTGAAACAGAACAAATGTCATCTGACGAATGGTTTTCCAGAGGACTGTAAATGAGGCAGCAAACTTTTCACTGTCTCCTGTTTCGCCTTTTGTCTGTCCGTTTTTAAGTCAATCCAGAAACACCCACTGCGTCCATCCAACACGCATATATCTGTGTCTGCTTGCAAAATTATCACATCTTCACAATTCGTCAGTGCCTGTATACGGAGCCCACAAAATATGATTACGCCTCTCAGAAATGTTGTGAAAGCTTAAGTGTCTCCTGACCTTTCGTACATGCAAAGCATGATGGAAAAAATGCTTGGGTCACTTTGACTTGATAGAGAGATGGAATCGGTAAGTGTTTATTAAAGCTGAAGGGGCTACAAGGGCCCGCATCAGTGATCAGACATCTGTGAATGGCCCCTACATCAAAGCCCTCCTGTCTCTATGAAGAAGCCACAGCCGAATGGCAATCAACATTAGACAGAAATGTTGGCTACCGCAATTACAAGTTTTGTGAAGTTTTAAGTTTTTTGAAGAGCCACAGAACACCTTCAGTAATCAGAGAGAATTGAGAAACCGAATATTTCTGTGAAATATCACCCTTTTCTGCTCTTCCGATGGCAGAATTTAATCAGAAAGGTGACAGTGTCAATTTATTTCTGACAAAAAGCCCTCGGGCAGATTTAAGCATAATGATTTGCAGTATCTACGTACCCATTATCTGTGTTACAGAGTAAGGGTGGTGATAGGTACCATTGTTCACAATTTTCCTATGCCGTTATGAGAATTATTATTAAATGTGAGCTAAAAAAAGTAATCTTTATGACATTTTGTCACAATACATTCAAAGAACATCATCACCTCAAAAAGAGCTTCTTTCTTAAAGGGATAGCTCACCTAAAAATTATTATTCGGTCACCTTCATGTCGCACATGTATGACTTTCCTTTCTATGTGGGACAAAAAGATAATTTGAAAAATGTCCCACGTGAGGGTGAGTAAATGATGACAGAACTGAACTATCCCTTTAATGCCTTTCCAGTTCACTCTCAGTTCAAAATATGCATAATGTGGATTGGAGGTGGTGGAAAAAAGTACTTTTTATTTAATTCATTAATGGCATGATTAATTCTTCACGCAGAAGTCCTGACTTGATATTTTTCCATCTCTAGGAGGAAGAGCTGAGGAAAAGTGGAGAGGCGAAACACGCCCATTTGAGCAACGATCTTCATGTTTTAATTGAAGTTTTCGCACCACCTGGAGAAGCCTATTCCCGCATGAGCCATGCCCTGGAGGAGATTAAGAAATTCCTTGTTCCAGTAAGTTCATACAGTTGGATTCCTTGAGAGGGATGGTGAGCTGGAAGCCAAGATGAGATGAGTGCACCAACCAATACTGAACTCTAGTGCTCTCCTGCATACATAAATTTGTTCATGTTTATTGCGTAGGGGGAAAAAAAGAGATTATAGAGTTATGCATATGATTAAATATATACATTGGAGATCTGCCTTGCTGGAATTGGCTAGAAACCGAGAGAATGCTGCTAGTTTCTGATTATGTATTTTGCAAATCCACATTAATTTAACCCTAGGTTATGATTCTGAATTTTCTTTAAAAAAAAAAAAAAAAATGGCTTAACATGAAAAGTTCTTGTGCTTTTTTGACTATACACACTTAAAAATAAAGGTGCTTCAAAAGGTTCTTCAAGCAATGCCATAGAAGAACCTTTTTGTCTAAATGGTTCCATAAAGAACCTTTAACATCTGAAGAACCTTTCTGTTTCACAAAAGGTTCTTCAGATGTTAAAGGTTCTTTATGGAACCATTTAGACAAAAAGGTTCTTCTATGGCATCGTGAAGCACCTTTATTTTTAAGAGTGTATGTATACAGTTCAGAAGTCAGTAAGATTTAAAATAATATTACTTTTAAAGATATTTCAAATTAATGTGTTCAATCTATACAAATAAATAAATAAGCAGAACAACTTTTTAATAGTAGTAGAAATAATAAGATTTATTTATTCATTCATTCATTTATTTAATTTTGAGCACCAAATCAGTGTATCAGAATGATTTCTGAAGGCTCATGTGACACTGAAGACTGGATTAATGGCTGCTGAGAATTTTCAGCAATAAATTACACGAAACATATTAAAATAGAAAACAGATATTTTAAATTGCAATAATATTTCACCATATTACTGTTTGGACTGTATTTTTGATCAAAAAACGCATCCTTGGTGAGACTTTCAAAAACATTTAAAAATTTTATCAACCACAAACCTTTGAACAGTAATGTACACACACTAGCTTACTTGTAACGTTAGAAAAAATGGGTCCTGGAGCTTTCAAAGGTAATTAATGTGTCAAATGAATATCTCTGTATATAGTCCAGACTGTAAATATTAATGTAGCAGTATGAGTTGTTGGCTTCAGGGAGGAAGCGTTCTAGGCAGGGCCGGATTTACCTCTTTTCATGACATATAGGCAAAACTAATTTTTGAGCCCCCCTTCCCTATTAATATAACAGGCCTAATATTGCCACCCAAGCAAACAAAAATATTTCTTAATCAGTGGAAACCGTTTGTTACAGTGTTTTCTATCGCAATAAGGAAATTGCATTTCATTCCATTAATAGGCGCGGCGACGTGGCCACATAACCACTTCGGGAGTGCATTATTTCTCTAATAATTTTAACGGCCCTGGTTCTAGGAGAAATTCCCTACATTCACCTCTCCTGCCCTGGGCTTTAGGCAGGCTCTTAGCCTCTTGGGCCACATCTTTGCATCACTGGTCTGGTCATATCCTCCATATGTACTGCTGTCAGTGTTGTTCCATGTTTTATCTTTATGCCCACTGCAGAATACCAAGCAGATGAGTTTTCAGTCTCAATAGCTCTGTTTCTATGATGCCTTCTTTTTTTACCCAAATTCTAAGACGGCAATGTGTGTCCATTTCAGTTAGGATTCTGCCATAAAAGCAGCTTCCTATGCAGGCAGGAGGTGGCAAGGCAGCTCATTAGGGTTTGGAGCTAATGTCTTGATGTCTTTCCATCTTTGAATTTGTTTATAGTGGTCTACTAATTTATTTATTTTTTGTCAGAAAGCTTGATTCCTGTCAGGATTAAAGGAGTGTGCTGGCATCTCAAGATGGTGCACTTTGAAATGTTAATAGTATCTAGGCAGCCATGTGAATATGTCATAGCATTTGTTTTATAGAGACATGAAATTATAGCCCCCTTCTAATTAAAGGCTTTTGCTAGACCCCTTAAATCCAGTGAAAACAAACCTTAATGCTATGGCACACATGACATTATAGTGTATTGTGTGCTTCTTTCTTGCAATAGTTTCGGGAAGCCATTTTCTGTTCCAACATCACAATGCCACAGTGTACAAAGAAAAGTCTATTAAGAAATGTTTTACCGAGTCTAGTGTGGAAGAACTTGACTGACCTGCACCAAGCTCAACTCCTATTGAACCCCTTTGAGATGAATTGGAACACAGACTAAGAGCCAGACCCCTGACTCATCATCATTACTTGTCCTTAGTGATGCTCTTGTGTCCGAATGAGAGAAAATGGCTACTGCAAAACTTTCCCAGAAGAGTGGAAGCTGTTAGCAAAGGGAGGGAGACTCAGCTTCCAAATAATTCCCAACAATCACATACACTACCATTAGTAAGATATTTTTAATGTTTTTAAATAAATCTTTCATAGTTACCATGGCTGTATTTATTGAATTAAAAGTACAGTAAAAATGCAATATTATGACATATTTTTACAATTCAGAACAACCGTTTTCTGTTTGAATATATTTTAAAATGTAATTTATTCCTGAATTGCCATAGTGGAAAATAAATATACTTAAATGTATTTGAAATACATTTATTTCATGTTAAGTATACTACAATTACATTTTAATATTTATCTATTAATAAAATACCCTGCAATTGTACTTTTAGTATAGTAAACTGGTATACTTAAAAGTCTGCTAAATTGGAACAACTAATTTCGTACTTAATGCAGTTTAATAGTGCTGAAGTACAATTAAAGATATACTTAGTAGGGCTGGGTAAAAAAAAATCGCTATCTCGATTTTAATCGATTCTCATTTTTAAGAAACTATATCGATTCGTAAATCCCAAGAATCGATTAGTCTAGCCTGTTTTCTGTTAATGGATGGAACATTGAAGCGCACTTCCCATCCAATAAATCACAACAAGGATTGTTCGTTGGTACTTTAAATATGAAACAAAGTCTCAGATTTCAATTTATGTCCAATGTATTGCAGTATTTAAACAATAAATGCCGTTTTGGCACTGTTTAATGTGGAGTGACAGATCGCTGTAGGCCAGACGTGGCAGCGCGAGGCTCACGTGAACTGATCATCTCCTCCACATTAATACCAGCTTCAGCACAAAATAATCATGACTAAACATCCGAAGGTAAGTTAAAAGAAAGAGTACAACTTTACAATCTGTATCCTGTCTCATGTAATCGCTCAATCAGTGTTTCAGCCGTGCAAAGACCTCAATATAATGGCTTGTAAACAATGTCACATAACCTCACATTTACCTCAGAAAGCATATTTGGTGACCATAAACTCGATAGTCAGCCAGAAAATAAACTCTAGAGAGGAGCATTTTGCTAAATATATGCACCATATAACATTCATTATATATATATATATATATATATATATA